GCTGCCGCTACGTGGTGCAGTCGGAGAAAAAAGTTTCACGCAGTAAAAAAATAAAAGTTCAGTGTACTAGTAGAGCTGCTTGGCTCTCCAAAAAATTGTCTTCAGTAGGGTCAATACTGATCCACTTAGCAGATGATGATTCTGGCGGCTGAGACTCTTTATGATGCTCAATCACTGCCTACGAGGTCGAATATCGCACGATCCGTAGGAAATTCTGATGCTAACTGAAGCCAACCACACACATTAAATGAAAAAAAAAAATTAATAGCTAAACAAATTGAATTTAATTTAAAAATCAATAAATAGCTGCAATACCGTAGAAATTTTACCAAAAATAACCCAAACCCTGAAGTTTTACTTCTGGTGCCTTTGCAATGAAGAGCATACGTCATAATCTGCCCGTCTCAAAAAATTATACAATTGATGAATGAGGCAGAGCATTCTGTGGGATGTAGTGTATTTTTTTGTCCGTGTACACCGAAAAATAATGATAAGTGGACACTACGATATTTGAGCGTAGCAATAGTCTTTACGACAACTCGAAAGTCGCAGTGCATCCGTGTGATATAGTCTCCGACATCAGCACTTACGACTATTAACGAAGAGTCCAATAACGAGTGGTGGACGCGAGATGCTACCTTGAGCGTGCACATATGGCGATTTTCTTTTCGTAGCGTCATATTCCAAATTTCGAAGTGAGACAGTATACTACGCTACGTAAACAGATCGAGTAGAACAATACACGGCGCAGTGCCTCACTTCGAAACTCGGAATCAGATGCTACGGAAAGAAAGTAGTCGCTGCGTAAGATAGATTAGATGCAGTTCGACTATCGTTGCCTTGCGTACTGAAACTACGTATGCGCCGTTACCGATGATCATCGTGTCGTGTCGTTTCGTTTGTCGTAATCTCACGCTTCAAAAAATGACAAACGAAACGACTGAGCAAACGAGATGTTATCGCAGCCGTGACTTACCAAAACGCTTTATATTATTAGACTTAACTTACGTAGTATAGTAACTCAAATGGTACACAAATTTTAGTATTATGACAAGTAAGTTGGATTTTTAAAAATCATGAAATATACCAAAAAATTTATATCGAAATTATCATTATGGTAACTTTGAATAATAATGTGTAGAGAAGTTGATCCCTCCATATTAAACAAATTTGGATCGCGCCTCTTCTCAGCAACGATTCGTTTGTGCTGAAACTTGCTTAGCCTATCTACCCGTATTAACCTCCTATTAACCCCAATTAACCCCTATTTGTTAAAGGTGGTATTTGTTAACTGGTTGAATACAATTTAACTGTTTCGAAAATTTAGACGAGTTTTCAACCACTTTAAATACAATAATATTACTTCAAGTCTCCGCCGCTAGATAGCGAGTACCTTCATATACAAATCTGCAAGTATAAAAGTAAAAAAAACCTTATTAATTGAATTGGCATTAATTATATACGTATACTGTGTCTTCCGTTTTTTTTTGCGAGATTTAAATGAGTGAAATTTAAAGAATCAACGTACTTCCCCATATAATATATACATAAGTAAACGCAACTTGCGTTATGAGAGTGTGTGATGTGTGCAGGAGTCTATACAAGAGCCATCAGGTTCCAACTTACAGGTCTGTAGCCTTTTGTCCGCGGGCTTTTCCTGGCTTGATGCGCTCTCTCTCTCTCTCTCTTTCTCTCTCGCACTGCAGTAGAAAAAGAGAGATAGAGATAGTCGAGAATCCAAGCCACTATATATCTCGTATTTTCAATGAGAGGTTGGCAAAAAGTGTTTTCACCCTCGATTTTCATCTTGACGCTGATGTTTCAAGGAAAATATAATTTGATATTTGAATTTAGCGTACCTGAAATCATTAAGTAAATCTGGTTTCATCAACTCCCCGTGATCTGTAATTTCATCTAAGATTTTACTGGTATCTGATCTTTTTCAATCGTTAAAATCATTTCTAACAATAAGTAGAAGCATAAACGATGATGTTGTTGAATTCCAATAAATAAATTCAAATTAATTGACGTTTTAAATTTCAAATGTAGAAAATAAAAAGTAACTATCGACCCATGTGTATGACCATGCGCTCTTTTATGTGCTTTGCATTCTATGTTCATCAAAAATTAGTCACAAAATTTTGAGCATTTCTATCAGGATTTTTATTTGTATAATTGTTTTTATTAAAGACAATTTAATACGCACAACAAGCCCGGGATAATTTATATCGTGGTACAGTACACACTCTTATGCACTTTAGAGACAGCATACGTAAACTCCCTCGGTATAATTATTTAGGAATTTCGCACACGATCAATCTGTCTGTTTTCAAAAGAAATTATTATGCCGTATAAAACTGTCCCGGGGCATTTAATGCCAGAATAACATTTTATCGCGCAAATTCCTCGAGCCGATTTTCTGTTAGCAAGCACAAGCCAAAAATACATATTAGTTTTATCGGTTGACAGTACACACGAAATTTTCATGCGACACACAACACACAAGCTTACACATTTCGCGCCTTCGTGGCTATAATTATAAAATTACTCTCGCGTTCTCAAGACAAGCCGGGATGATTTTGCCCAGCTACATAGACAATTCACGAGTGTCGCGCGCGCGCATATAATGTGAATTGTTGAACGTCGCGCGACTTGACACTTCAAAGAATGGGCCTGTTTCGCGCTTGCATTCGGGAATGCGGCACATATTTATTTTCATGCGCGCTCTTCCTTCAGCATAATTTATCGCTTTCGAATACTTTCAAAGAAATATCGTCGATTTACTCGGCAAAATTCAAAAGCAGACTCTTGACGAAGGGCAAGGAAAATTATTTTCCATATCAAGAGTCAGGATTTGCGTAATCGTCCAATGGACAGGAAGAAAACTCAGTGAATATCGTACGAGGAAAAATATGGGTAATTTTGCTTCGGCTCGACATCAAATTCAATTATTACGCAGTTGCTCCGTTCTTTATAGGGTCGGGGACACGTCTATACGAATAGTTTGAAAAGATGCCACTCGTCTTCATTGTTCAACCGTTCACGTATCCTAATGGCTTTTACGACGCTTCAACAGGTCTATGAATAAATTACAGATGCTCTGCCCCGTCACGCTCCTGATCGGCCGCTATTACAGCACACAGGGCTATTTTCGGCATTAAAAGATTAGACGTTTCATTCGATGGACTCGATAACGTATCTTCACGAATCGAGTCGAATACTCCATTTCGCTCAGACATACAACAACATTCGAACTCTGCCACGGTTGCGAATTAGTTTTCTCGAATTTCAATTAAAGTCTAATAAACGCAGTTCGTTGTACTAACCAGCCCGAATACTTCTGTAGGTACTCGAGGTACGAAATCGGCGTCACGGAAGCATGAGCTTCGCATTTTCTCACTGCACACGCGCGCCCACACATTCGGTATTAGCCCTATTATAAATTGCGACCTGTGTATTCAATTTTCCACTTTCGCCACTCACTTGTGTTACGCAAATTGACTGCGCTGTATACACAGCTTGTGCACGGGTGCGCGCGTTGATCGAAGATATTTGCATTGAAAGTGGCTCTTTATAAAGATGACGACGACGACGACGACGACGACTCCGACGACGACGATGACAGATTGCCGAGGCAAAGTCTAAACTCGATTTTAAACATGGGAGCCTACCGCTAGTACATTTGCATCGATTTTTCTGTACGCAACAATTTTTTCATCAAATTCTAATTTCTAATGATAATAATAAAATAATAATTATCATAGGTACCATCTGTAATTGTTTTCCACGCTAATATTCAGTAAAAAAGTTTGAATAAACGAAACTCATAAATTTGTGGAAAATTTTTAGTTCATTACTTTCGATGAACATTTTTTTCATTTCGTTATAGAACCGCTCGACAAAGAGCTAGAGCCTGTTGCTACGACAAATAAAAAAACTCGACGATAGCTACTCCACGTAGGGTATAAAACTTTCTTTTTTTTTCGCAAACGTCGCAACAATACTCGAAGTATTTATGTATATATCAATTTTCGAGAACGTATCCGAGTATTCATGCAAAACCACGCGTGCATCCAAATGCTTTGTTGTTGTCGCCTTCGCGATTTTTTGAATAAATCATTCACTTTTCACACCTTTGTCCGCGCGAGGCGCTTGATAATAAACTTCTATAGAATCGTTTTTGCTCGCGTCGCAGTCGGCGCTACCCAGTATCCAGCGCACGCCGACCGAATTAATAATACAAATTGTAAAGTAGTCCAAGTATGGACAATAAAACGAAGGGGTTATAAATGCAATTTCTTGAAAAAGCACGAAGTACACTCTAAATTGAGAGATATGCGCTCGACTTACGCTCGTCGCAAAGGGTCTCGACGAAAAAGTGTCTCCTGTAAAATTCATAAATGCTTCGCAGTAATTCAAAAGCGAGCAATTTAAACTCTACACTCGCGCGGTGTACAGTCGAGAGATCTCGGCTCGGAAATAAAACTTTGACAAATTGCTTACTGTTAAATTCATATTTTCGAGGTGCACGGGCTAGAATTACATCGCTCAAGAACTTACGTGCATCTTTGGAAATTTTCGTATTCTTTCATGTAAAAGCGTTTTTTACAGGTCATTCATTAATTTGAATCAAATCCCCATGTTATATTTTTCAAGTATATTAATACAAATCGCTTGTATGTGATTTGATTGGAAAGTCATAATTGAGACGAGCTTAAACATTAAAAAAAAATGATTAATAAATATTTATTTCGCGATTTAATTGTCCTTTGACTTTTTAATGCGGGGAAGTCTTTAACAATGAACACAGATATAATTTAAATCTCCCTCATATGTCTTCAACTTGAGAAAAATTGATTGCGTATTTGCCTATTTGCAGGATAATACGGCTTTTTCACTGCGTTGCTGGTCACTTTACTGATTTGCCAGAAGCAGACAAATCGTAAAGTGACCAGTAATGGCGACTGTGAAAAAGGCCTATTGCGTATGACAACGGCAAGTTGATGGGGAAAGAGGAAAGTATCGTTAAGGAACTATCGTAATCGCAGAGTCACTGCAAGCTGGCAAGGAATTTTTCGGTGAACAAGTGCTTAAAAATTATATCAGTAAAAAAGTATTCGTTTCGTTTCCTTCCAAATTCGATTTACATTGCTGGCTAAGCGTTTAACCTCAAATATTTTCTGGGTATACATCGTGAAAATTTACAGTGAATTCGTAATATCATCCAGCGTGTGATGGAAAGCAGAGAAGATACAGTTAGGTAATTAGTAACATTTTGTCAATGCCAATATTTTTTTCAAGCGGTAGATTCTGTAAACTTTATTATTCTTCAGGGTTAAGGAAGAGCCAAATGATACATGGCCAGATGCAGGTGAACATGACATTTTCGAATCGGTGGACTCTTACAAAGTCCAAAACTCCAAAAAATTTACGTTTAGTGAATCATCGGTGAGTTCAAAGATTTGAATCATTTTCTGTTTTACCGCTTCTAAAAACTATATTGTATAATTTTGATTTTAGGAAAATTATATGAATAAGCCTATGCTATTGCAGGAACAGTTAGATGAAAAAATTTTCGAAGAATTTGAGTGCAAGAATGTCGAATCTGAACTGACGTTTTCATCAAAAATCGAATGCAAAACGGAGAATCTAAGACTACCAATTGTGAAAATAGAAAACCAAATTCAAAAAAATTATTCCACCGAAAAAAGTCTAATAATTTTGGTAGAAAAAGAATTTGATTATTATAATAACTGTCCATTTCACGTGAATTCCATTTGCCACAAATCATTTGGATACAAGAGTGATCTCAAGAAACATGTAAATTCAGTACATGATCGGAGCAAACTCTTTGAATGTGATATTTGTCAAAAATCATTTCGATACCAAAGAGCACTCAAAACTCATATAAATGGAGTTCATAATCAGATTAAACCTTTCGAATGTGAGATTTGTCATAAATCATTTGGACAAAAAGGATACCTCAACAAACACATAAGTGCAGTTCATAATCAGATTAAACCTTTCGAATGCAAATTGTGTAACAAATCATTCGAAACTCAAAGTAAACTCAAAAGGCATATTCAGGCGGTACATTATCGTACTAAACCCTTCGAATGTGGCATGTGCCACAAATCATTTGGAGAAAAAGGGCACCTCAAAACTCACACAAATGCCGTACATGATCGTAACAAACCCTTCGAATGTGATATTTGTCATAAATCATTTGGACAAAAAGGATACCTCAACAAACACATAAGTGCAGTTCATAATCAGATTAAACCTTTCGAGTGCAAATTGTGTAACAAATCATTCGAAACTCAAAGTAAACTCAAAAGGCATATTCAGGCGGTACATTATCGTACTAAACCCTTCGAATGTGGCATGTGCCACAAATCATTTGGAGAAAAAGGGCACCTCCACGTTCACATAGGTACAGTACATAATCGGAGCAAACCCTTTGAGTGTGTTATTTGCCACAAATCATTTGGTCAAAAAAGTAACCTCAAAGTTCACATCAATACAGTACATAATCGGAACAAACCCTTCGAGTGTGATATTTGCCACAAATCATTTGGACAAAGACAAAACCTCACACTTCATGTAAATGCAGTACACAATCATGACAAACCTTTTGAATGTGATATTTGTCATAAATCATTTGGACAAAATAGTGATCTTTATAAACACATCAACGCAGTACATTATCGTAACAAACCTTTCGAGTGTTGCATTTGTCACAAATCATTTGGACTCAAACATCACCTCGAATATCACATAAATGGAGTACACAATCGGAACAAACCCTTCGAATGTGAGATTTGTCACAAATCATTTGGACTCAAACATCACCTCGAATATCACATAAATGGAGTACACAATCGGAACAAACCCTTCGAATGTGAGATTTGTTACAAATCATTTGGACAAAAAGGGGACCTTAATAAACACATAAATACAGTACATAATCGGAACAAACCCTTTGAATGTGAGATTTGCCATAAATCATTTGGGAAAAAAAGTCACCTCAATTCTCACATAAAAGCAGTACATAATCGTAGCAAACCTTTCGAATGTGAGATTTGCCACAAATCATTTGGGCAAAAATCGAATCTCAAAATGCACATCGATACAATACATAATTGGAGCAAACCTTTCGAATGTGATATTTGTCACAAATTATTTGGACGAAAAGGTAACCTGAAATCTCATATAAATGCAGTACATGATCGAAGCAAACGCTTCGAGTGTGATATTTGCCGCAGATCATTTGGCCGCAAGGGTGACCTCAAAACTCACATAATGACGGTACATAATCGTTGAAAACCCTATGAGTGTAAAATTTGTCACAAATAATTTGGATTGCTGGGTAACTTAAAAATGCACATAAATGCCGTTCATAATCTGAAGAAATACTCTGAATGTGACATTTTTCGTTTAAACATATAACAAACTTAACATCTCACATAATTAATGTACACATTCGTAAAAAACCAATCGAATGTGAAAATTGAAATTTCACTTCACTTTCACTTTGAATGTAAGATTATTTTCGAGACATTTCGTGTTTTTATAAAACTTTTACATAAAATATCCTTCAATTTTGTGATGATCAATAAAGTATTTCAAATGTTTTTGTTACTGTAAAAACCTTTTTCCTCGCGTTTAATACATGCGCTGATAAGAGTCTTCAATTCCTAATTTTTTGAAGCATTGTTATTTAGCCGATTTTACAATATCAATGCTCGATAAAATAAACTCTGTAAATAGTGAAAATTTATGCCAATCGATCAAATAAACATAAATGGTAATAAAGTATGTTGTCGGATATCTCATAATCGAAAGATATTTTCGCTGTATTCATTTGAGTTCTATTAACATTTCAAATATCGGTATGTGTATAATATCACAAATTACTTTTTAGTGCCTCTTTAATTATAAGCAATAAGTAATTTATAGAAATAAATATATAAGCAATGCATATCTTACGTATAAACATAGAAACCTTCCATATGTCTCTCATTTGTAATCAATCTCGTGTTGTGAGTCAGCTTACTGTTAAATAGAAATGCAAAGGTAAAAACAATGTTTTTCTCCGCTCAGATTCATTATTTATTGAGAAATATATTTACTTATAACATAAACAATTCAAGAAGTCTTGAATAAATAAGGACACAATATTTTTTCTATTTTGTTGATCATTCATAGGTCAAACCGGTTTTTTCATTACCACATATGAACACAATGTCAGAAGTTTTGTAATACTGAAAATTTTGAAAAGTTTAAGTATTTGCGATTGCTTGTAACATATTGACATTAATTTCACAAATATCAGCACACGTATGTATTAAAACTGTCGATAATTTAGCCATTAAGATATTTGAAGAGCTCATGAATGATAAACAATTGTTCATAGCATAGGTGACGACGCGTCGCATTACGTGATATATCGTTCCAGCACCTACATGTATGGAGCTTCAAGAACTTACGTATTTATTTAATGTACACTTGGATAATAATATCTTACACCCTACTTTAAATTTCGCAAGGGAAATATTTCAAACAACCGCGAAAAAGCGTAATTTCAACTATCGCGCAATTTATGCATGAGTTTGTACTTCTACGCGTGAGGCTACCCTCTAGAACTTAAAAATTATTCAAGAATCAAGACGAAATGGCAAGTTTTTTTTCAAGCTCATTCATTTCCAGAGCCACAAATCGTTCGATTCTAATGGTATACGATCCAGCACGTAAAAATAGAATCTCAAGACATGCATGTATCAATTACCTTACGTGTGTACAATACATACTTTCAATGGACGCGAGGAAAAAATAAATTACTTTCGACCGAGCTGCCTATTGACTATAAAAGAAACTTCCCTCGTGTATAGATTTATTGTGAAATTACAACGTTACGATTGCAAAGAAATATTCATTTTCTGTGTACAATGTATCATCATCATTCTCTATTTCTACCATCTATAATGCATAAGATCGATGCGTTCAACTTATAAATAATCGCGATATGAAAATATTTGTCCATTGGATGGAAAGAATAGGTTAGTTGAGAAATAAACAGTTCTATCGAAATGAAATATTCATTCGCGTAACCAAAAAAAAAGTACGCGAATGCAAAACTGCGGTTCGAGCGTTCGAAATAATTTTTTTCGCATGTGCCGAAGGGATAAAAAATACCTTCGAATGAAAAAAAATGGTAAGAACACAGGGGGGTAGTTTTTGAATAATTAATAATGGCTCGTATGGCTCTCGAGGTGTATAGCATGCACCGTAATTTGTCGAATTGCCACTCGTGCTGCTGAGTAATGATATTTAATTGTTATATCATGCCATGACAATTTCTTCTCTCTCTCTTTTTTTTGCCTTTCTTCAAACCTGTAACTCATTTGCAGCAGTTCGCTACAGCGGGACGAGAAAAAGTTTTGAGTCGTTCTTACACTGGTTGTATCGAGCTTCTATAGCATGAATTATATACCTGGAGTAGATAGAGGACCCCGTGGAATTTAAGTGAAGCTCAAAAGCATCGAAAACGTACGAATTAGGAAAAAAAATGAACGATGTATATTACATTGTAAGCGCGCCTCGAAAGCGAAGCAAAGGAAAAAAAGGCATTAGTAAGCAGCTTGAGCGCAAAAAGCCATATAATGATTCGGCGTGTGGGCTGTGTATATGCAGCATGACAATCGACGCTCGCGCGCTGCATGTTCAAAGTCTGCATAATATAATATTCGAAAAATGAAAGTCGATACGGCTTATGGACGCGTGCCACGCATCAAAGTATAAACTTTACCTTATACATACACATGTATCCCGTATACATTTGTACGTGTGTGTGCGTATGTGTGTGCGTGCGTATACGCAAGCCAAAGAGCGCCGGGGGTATAAGTGTATCTGCACGCACAAAAACACAAAGTGGAAGTATGACGCTAGGAAGAGAAGGTTGGGGTAGTGCAGGGTCTCTCCTTTCTCTCTCTCTCTCTTCCATCGACATCACCTGCTTGTGCTTTGCACACATCGCGCGTTGCTTTCTATCCATCTCTCCCCCCTTGGCCCCACTCTCCACCCGACATCTCCTGCATTCCTATTATACTTCCTCTTTCCTTTTTCGTTTTCCTCGTCTCTTTCTCTCCCTCTCCCGATCTTTTTTCGCAATACTTACTTAGCTGCGTACAAGCCAAAGGGGGTAAAAAAGCCAGGTGATGATTCAACCCCTCCCCTTCGCGCACTCATACCCCAACGCTCTCTCGTCGTGTGTGTGTGTATGCAATTGTTGTGTGCGTGCCGTGTACAACAGAACTCGCCCTTTCTTATTTCGCGTGTAAGTGGCAAATGCAAGCTACGTTATAAGCTAGTTTTGATGCGTTCTGCTGCGCGAACATGAAAATGAATATACGATGATTTTTCAAGATAAGTTGCATGTATTTCAATCTTTATCTCAAGCATGCTCAGATCATTTTGAGTATATTCTTATTCTGTTGATTGAAAAAAATTCTACCAAGTATTTAGAAATCAACATATCATCAATCCAATATGATAATTGGTCTCTTCTAGGAGCTACCATTACGAGACTTCGACAAGCCTTAATTACTTCAAACACTCGTGAATAGTCTGTCTACGATGCAGATTGATTAATAAGTTATTCTAATTAGGACTTCGGAATTACTTAGCGGTGATCCACAAGTAAATCGAACTCCAATATAGCTTTTTGAGGCTTTACATCTCTAAACAACGCAGCATGCTAAACATCTCAATACGATCGAAGCGTAATGAGCGATGCGGAGCCGCTGATCTTCGTGAAATACTCGTGCATCGGTCGATACCAGCATATAATTTCGACGCATCTGCTTTGCATCTACACTCCATTACTTTTCGTTATCTAATTGTCGTTTTTGCATAGCTTTAACAAAGATTCGACTTCTTCTTGGGCGGTTCGTACAAAAAAGATCGCGCGTGGCTCGGCACGCGTTCGGGGCGTACGCCGAAAGTTGCGTAATTTTCATCGTCTTCCTTTTGCGGCGCAGCGCCAAGCTATATACACATACAATACCTGCGTATATCCTTCGCTCAGACACACGTACGCACGCACACGAACGCGCACGACATCAAGGTAGGTATATAAAATATAATATATTGTAACCCCCTTTTTTGCGCGTGTGCATGCGGGGATCGATCGATGCTCCGAAGCTCGACGCAGCGTCGCGCGCGGATGTGATTTACGCACAACCGGAACCCCTCTCGCTGCTGCGTGTATGCGTGTACTTCGTATCCTTAAATGTGTGCACGCGTGTGTGCGTGTCTGTATATATGCATTTGCAGGAAGGTAGAAAAACAAAAAAAAATCCAGAAGGGCAAAAGAAGAACAAGCTTGTTATAGCAAAAGCCAAAAAGCGAAGGGGGTCTTCGGTGATAGATAGAATTTTTAGTTTTTTTGTTGGAGACGTATCGGTTGAAATTTAGAAAATATTACTTTGACAATTTTTTCAATGATCACAAAAAGTATGAAAAAAAACTGCAACGAAATACACGAATATCCAGCAAGCAATCGAAGGAAGCAAATTGCGGTAGACGTGCTTCAATCATGAACTATCCACTTTCGGCCAAAAGTTCATTCTCCGCCCTTTTTCGTTCACGTCGTAAAAGGCATAAGCGAAAAGTCTAAGGGCAAGCAGCACTAAAGGATATCCTAGCAATAGCTACACCTACAAAATCGAATAAAGGCACTGTTCCTGCAGGTATATAAAATACAATACGCGAGCTTCTTCTTGGGCCTCGCACTACTCCCAAGTGCTCGTATGCGTATACTATATAAGATGCAGAGCCCCCGAGAGCTCATGGGGTACCTATACTGCTGCTCCCCGTCTCGTACGCGAGGGTACGCATATAGCAGCTCGGCAATCGAGTTTGCACGCGTCGTTGAGCGAAAGAAAGATTTCCTGTTCTCAAGTTTATAATACCTTAGGCACGCGTATGTGTGTCACATAGAGCA